TGACCACACACAAAAAAAAAATGCTTTAAATGCTCTCAAAAATAAATATGTTAGGGGCTTGGTGAATAAAGAAACAGTTAAAAAACATTAAACCATTAAAACTACAAGTAAATAAAAATACAACATGCCAGGTTTCAGACAGTATCCCATCTTCTTGTCTTGGTCATAGTCTGAGGAGGTGGCACACCAGGACATTCCAGGGAATTCTGCATCGGGGAGGCATCCATGATACCAGCTGTTATTGTACTTGAAGGGGAACTCACAGGGGCTGCCGGCAGAGTTCCCATCCATGGTATGGATGACTGCACCGAGAGAAGAAGTGAACAAAGTCAAAGATCTATTTCAAGCCCGTGGTAGTCGTTTCATTTCGACGACTCGTAAATCATCTCACAGCAGCGACGGATGAGATGAAATTTGATGCCCTCCTGCAAACACCAAAGCACCTTCTTCGTACCATAATACACACAATCAAACGTGAGCTTCCAATATAGACAGCTCATCCTACTCCTTAGATCAATTCCTGTATACTGATAAATAAATGAATGTGAAGAAGGGGAGGTTAGGCTTGTTTATAAGCCAACGTCTCTCTTCCTTCCTGCACCCCCAACAAGTCTGTGCAGAAACTGAAATCAAAGACGATGCAAAAATTGTGCTTTGTTTATTGCTTCAGTGACAGAAAAGAAACAAAGTCCCAGGAAAGGAGTTTTGATTCAGTTAAATGCTAAACGTAGCATGTAAGTGCATCTTCAACTCAGTCTGCATCATCATTGTGATTGAATTTAATATTCATGCTCTCTGCACTCAAACTAATTTTCCTGTATTGCCACAAAAAGGATCTGAACGCATAATAATGGACCATTTGAAGAAGAACTTCTCTCTAAATGTTACTGCAGACATGAAAAATGACAATAAACAAGATGCTCTTCTGTTTCAAATAGGTGGATCAGACGTGGCAGCTGAACAGGCCTGGTTGGTCTTGCATCATGTACTTCTAGAGCACCTCCTCTTCTTGCATAAGCTTCAGTGTCCTTAATCAAGAGCTTAAACTGTTTTAATAACACACAGTTATTTAAAATGTTATGGCCAAACATTCAGTCACTACCTGAATATTTCTTTAACCTTGCAGTGTTCGGTGGAATGTGCATCAAAACAGGAATGAACGCAGAAAAGAAAGTAAAAGTCTGCGTTACAGAGCCTTTGCACCTTGCAGACATGCTACAGACGATTCCACGACCACAACGACAAACAAAAGAAACGGAACAGGCAGACTCTACGTTTTCAGAGCAAGTTGAACACCTGGAATTTGACACCCTGTGTTGTTGCCCAGCACAAAGAAGCAATAACTGAGAGGCCTGACAACAATTAAGCTGATCGGTGTGTTTAAAAGGGACCAGAATTTGTATGGTCAGGTGACACAAGAGCCAGAGGTGTAATGTGTTACAAGCCTGGACTGTCTTCACATTTAGTTCAAGAAGTGAACACAACAGAAGAGCAAGCTGACTTTAACTAATTTCTTGACAAATTAGTTCCTGAAGCACTATTCAGAAAAAAGAAAGAAAGAAAGAAAAGAAAACAGCCAGTCCATGTAAGCAATTCTGTCTCTTAGATAAGAGAAAGGAATCCACACTTACCGCGGTATGGCCTCTGGCAGATGTTGTCTTGGGATTCTCCTCTTACCCAAGTGTCATTAGTTTCCCGACTGAGCGCTACTTTCCCTTTGCTGACCGCCAGGCCCATCTGATAAACAGTGTAAACAACTCCATCCAAACAGCTCCACCATAACAGGATGTTGGAGCCACAGTCGAACATAGTCAACATCTTGGAACTGACGTCCAGCGCCATGCAGAGCGATGTTCCCACATGGAAGAGCCGTTGACCTGAACCCCACTTCCACTGTTGGGACTTGCTGTTTGAGTTGCAGGTGGCGAGGCTCAGGTTTGCTGGACCACTTGCACTCAGGCATTTCCCTGTGCTCTGGTGCTGAATGGTGAAAGCATCCTCATCTGTGATGACAGGACAGAAAA